ATAATAATAATAATAATAATAATAATAATAATAATTTAACTATAAAACACTGCGATAATATAGAAAAAACTGCTCAGCAATCGGCTAACTTAGTCAAAAGACAAATGCAAAATCTGAGCGCCAACACTGGTGTCCACATTAAACCTGTCTCCCACAGCGAGAAGATTGGCCAAGTTCTCGCTCCGAAAGAGAAAATGCCCCCATTGTTAGCAATCAATGCGTAGTTTACAAATTTCAATGTAATCTGTGCGACGCAGATTATGTCGGGTGTACACAACCCGACATCTACACAAACGCATCAGCGCGCGAACACAAATACTCGGCAATCGCCAGGCACAATTAGGAGCATGGGCTAACGAAGTCTGCTTTAGAGGAGAAACAATTTTCTATTTTGAAGAAATGCAGATCGAAGTTTGATTGTTTAGTTTTTGAAATGCTTTTAATTAAGGAATTGAGCCCTGTGTTGAATACACAGAAAGACTCAATTCATGCCAAACTTTTAGCTACTTTTAACGTGACTCTTTACATGCAAATGTTTGATATTATATATATTTTTAGTACTTTTTTAAAAAATTTTTATCATTGTTTTCTTAGCATTCGTGTCTCTTAAGGATTCTTAGTTTACATTTAAATTTGTACCCATTTTATTCACTCATTTGTACCCACTTTTATTCAGTTGACTTGATAATAGGGACCCTAAGCACCGACGACGGATGAGACGACGACGGATGAGACGACGACGACGAGTAAAAGTGTTGTAGGACTGGGTCGAGGACGTCGTTCACGGCGTGAAAACTAAGTGCGAGTACATGTAAACAGAGCTGAGCTCTTGCAAACATCGACCTAAAACTATCGAAAAATTTTGTCATGTCTTCCTTTCACGAGCTCCAAGACCTGTTTCTCTTGAGCTACGAAAACGGTACTATCGATGACAACAAATTTTCAGTCCTACATGAGAAATTTGATGTCGAAAAATCCCGATTTCTCATACGAAGAACATAACAGGTTTTCACTCGAAGAGATGAATGATTCCGAATTCTCGGCCCGATATAATCTAAAACGTCCTTCACGGTATAAATTCTATACGGCCTAGAGATGAAAAATAATCACCAAAGGTTTACCACAATAGAGCGTAATTCCACTCACGCGTCCAGCAGCCATGCAAATTTACTAGTCTCATTAGACAGTTGCTAAAATCCTTGTCGGTCAGCATAAAGCAGACAAATTTAGCAGAATAAGTTGTTCCAGTGGTGAATTGCAAAACAGTCAAATTTAGTACTGATTCCAGCAAGATCTTTGCGGCCTAGGTGACCCTCAACGTATTAAACTTAACTGGAAGCAGCATAAATATATGAATTGATCTTTTTTTTTTTGTCCATTAAGTCAAATTTAGTACTGATTCCAGCAAGATCTTTACGGCCTAGGTGACCCTCAACGTATTAAACTTAACTGGAAGCAGTATAAATATATGAATTGATCTTTTTTTTTTTGTCCATTAAAATCCTGAGTTCTGAATTTTTTTTCTCAAAACACGTATAGAAAGAGAGTGAATATTTACCTTTACAATCCCTTAATTCTGCTGCAGGTTGTATGCACATCCTATGCAACTTACAGTCGTTTGACTGAGCTTAACCTACGTAATTGAGCTTAAACGAGATCAAACGTGTCGTTAATCACACTTTGCTGATGTCAGCAAGATTCCGCAGGGTAAGCTGGGAAAATTACGAAATTTATTTAACCAATTCTTTGCTTTTTTTTCACAAGACAAAGGGACAATTCCTTTACTAAACCCATCTTACTCTTTTTTCTTTAGTCTTCACTATTTACTGCTTTTTATTTCCGTTTTTCAGACGACGTTTGATAACACGCTTCGTGAATTTTAATCAGAGGAGAATTTGGGGAATCCCCAGCTAAAGACTGAACCGTAAATTGAAAGCGACGCCGTTTGCTGAAGCAACCAGCGAACGACTCAGCTTATCTAGATTTCTTCCCAAGTATTCTCGGTCTAGCTGTTAAAACTTTCTTTGGAATAACTGCTCGAAACTGCCCTTGAAATTTGAGGAGACAACATCTGATGCAATTGTTTTGTCACTTAGCCGAATGAATGATGGGCAGTCGACATTATTAATTCCTACAAACGGTGCGATTGCCAGGATTGAAGCCAAGTCTTCACTGAGTACTGTCTTCTCGATAACGTATATGTATCACGCAAACTGGCGCCTGCTAGAAACAGTCCGCTATATGTATAATAATCTTGCAGCACCAAACAGCAACTCACCTGAACGTTGTTTCCTTGCCGGGATTCGATGCAGATCTGGGTGTCGACAGAATGGTAGTCAGTACACCAATTGCAGTAATATTTTCGCGTAGCAAAGTCATGATTCACCGATAGATTGCATTTAATCGATAGAATTGTTCTTCCCACGTCCAACGCCACCGGCTTACATTCAACAACTACAAAAGAATGATTCAACCAAGATGGCTCTGTAACAGCGCAGAACCTTTTGTCTGATCGACCAGCGATGCATCCCATGTTGTCATGTCTAGTACGTATGAAACTCTTCAATCATATTTCAAGCCGGTGAAAACTTGGATTGCGCGAAGAAGGTCCCAGATTTTAAAGGATATAATCATTGACATAGCGTGCGTCGCTGACAGTCTAAACCGTCGGTGTAGTCCGGGGATTTTGTGACATGTCCGCCAACGCAGGCTATCATTGGCATGGAGTATGCTAAATTTGCATGGGTACGTGCTAAATTTGCATAACTTGGTGACGGGTTGAGCGCGGGGAACTCCCTTAAGTATTCAAAACGATGACACCACGCTTTAAAATTGCAAGCGTCACAATTACCGCACGTGGTAAAAATAACGCGTGTCTCAGCTCGCTTAAAGGGGCTAGGTCACGCTATTTTAGGTAATTTTGTTTAATTTTGTTAATTGTGAGTTCTAAACGTCAAATTGGCAGAGCAAAGTCTTTCATTTGCAAAATCACGGCCGCATAACAACTGAGAATGATTTTCCAGCTATGATATTTTGATATAAACTGAAATAAATGTGAAAAAAGGTGGGCCGACGTTTCAGCAAATTTACCCAAATGCAGTCCGTGTTAATCCTCTCCAGTTTTGTCCATCCATGTCCCTTCTTGGCTTTCCTGTGTTTTGTTTGAGATCTACTATACTTTGAGCCGTTTTTGTGATATTTTAGTTAATTCTATGACCATTTGATCAGTGCTGAAATTGCCTAAAATTAGGTGACCTAGCCCCTTTAAGCTTTCAGTCCTTCTGCTGTCAGCCGAGTTTGTCTCTATAATTTCTGGTTAATAATAGCAGTCGGCTCTGCCTCGTTTCAGTTCAGTTTTCGTCTGTATTCCGTGGGCAGCTGTGCCTGTGCACGGTTCTAGGCTGAAAAAAAACACATTCCTGTAAGGACACCAAAATGGCCACCCCGCTTGATTTTTGCAGGGGCATGTCACGACCAGTAAACTGGTACCGTTTAATGCTAAGACATGCGATAAGACATGTGGCAAACATGTGAGTATGTGAGCAGGCCATGTGAGCTCGTCTTTCCGATGGATCTTTTTTTTGACTTCTTTCCATTCAGTCGCCGTA